TTGGGGGCCCCTGGGATGGTGCCGGGGAAGTGGGCAAAGCCCTGGGGAAGACCCTTAAAAGCACAATGCTGGAACCTTGCCAGGATCCCAGGGCTCTTGCTGGAATTAGGAATGTGGGCAAACATGCCAAATGTACCCCAGGGGCTGGCCAAAGGCTTCCTGTGCCTTGCCGCAGACAGGGAGAGGAGCCCAAGGCCCAGGCCAGGGGCCAGAGGCCACCCTGACCTCATGCCTCTGATGCGAGGGCATGGGCAGAATGCCAGGCGGCACAGGGGCCTGGGAGAACAGCAAGGAGGGGCATCGGTGGGCACTCTCTGAAGACATTTCCCAAGGCTGAGTGCCCCCTGCTCACCTGCAGAGGCCTGTTGGTGAAGAGCGCTAGGGCCATGGCCGCTTCGCCTGTTCTCCAAAGACGAAGCTGGGGAAGAAGAGGGAACCGTGAGGCCGATGGCACCGCTTCCCAGCCCCCCGGACCCCTGAGCTGCCTTCAAAGGGCTTCTAGTCTGCCGCTGACGTGACTACAAGGCAGTTTGAGGAGGAGAGGGATCTGCAGAGGCCGCACCGACACGAGCCTGGGAGGAAGAGAAAGGTTCCCAGCAGTCGGCCAGAGCCTGGGAGACCTGAGTCCAGATCCTCCCCATGAGCCGAGGCCAGCCTTCCAGCCTCCCTCAGACTCAGTTTACTCACCTGTAAAATTATTATAATGAAAGCCCCGCCCCCACCTGGTTGTGACGGTCAGAGAGCCGATTACTGGAAAGGGCCACGGAAATGGCGACCCTCCTCCTGCTCCTCCCAGACACCAGGCTGGGGCAAGGGCAGGCCAGCGGGTCCGAACCTGGAGTGAGAAGGGGTGGCTGGACGCAGGCCAGAGGGGCCCAGGGCTGCTGGGGAAGAGAAACGGAGACAGAGGGAGAGACGGGGAGAGAGAGACATGGGAGAGAGAGACAGAGACACAGGGAGAGGTGGGGGAGAGAGACATGGGAGAAAGATGGAGACAGAGGGAGAGACAGGGAGATGGGGAGAGAGAGACATGGGAGAGAAAGAGACAGAGGCATAGGGAGAGGTGTGGGACAGAGACACGGAAGAGACAAGGAGAGACAGGGAGAGACGGAGAGACATGGGAGAGAGACACAGGGAGAGAGACAGAGACACAGGAAGAGATGAGGAGAGACAAGGAGAGATGGAGAGAGAGAGACAGACACAGAGAGATGGGGGAGAGAGAGACAAGGAGTTTTTCTGGGTAAAGGTCACAGGTTTGGTGCTAGAGGCAGCATCCACCACTGACCCTCAGGACCTCCTGAGGCTGCTGCTGACCTCCCAGGGGAGGCTCCTCAGGGGGCCTGGACCCCCCGCTGGCCATGGGATGGCTGCTGAGGCCCAGGCAGAAGCATGATGTCACTGAGATGGCTTTGATTTTTTTAGTACGCCGTGAGGCAGGGTCCGGGTTGGGAGGGTGGGAGAAGGGGCCGCAGCTGAATACCTGGGAAAAGGCCATTTGCAACGCTCCAGGAGAGAGCAAGACAGACCGGTTTCGGGAGGCAAAGGCCTGTCTTGCGGCACTGAGATTCGATCACAGAGCGTCGGGGTCTGCCTGGCTCCAGGCCTTCCTCCATTCAGCCACCAAAGGTCTGATCCTGGCAAGCTCCAGGGAGGTCAGTCCGGACAAGACTGACCTGGGCCTCCTGGCTGTGCCATTGTCCTCTTTGGCCATCTCCTGCTCTGACCGCTGACCTCTCTGGCTTCCTTCAAGTCCCAACTGAAATCCCACCTCCTACAGGAAGCCTTCCTTCTTCGATTGCCCTATACACAGCTCACTATCCCATCCTGGAATGTGAGCTCCTTGATGGGCAGGGACTGACTTTTTGCTGCTGTTCACTCCTTTCAGCCTGTGTCCAGCTCCCCACGACCCCATGTGGGGTTTTCTTGTTAGAGACACTGAAGTGTTTGCCATTTCTTTCTCCAGCTCATTTTACAGATGAGGAAACTAAGGCAAACCAGGGCCACAAGTGTCTGAGGCTGGATTTGAACTCCGGAATATAAATCTTGCTGACTCCAGGCCCGATAGTCTATCCACTGTATCCCCAACTTTGGCCTCTCTTTGCACCTCCAGCCCTTAGCACATGACCGACACACAGAAAGAGCTCAATAAAGGCTTATTAACTGATTCACTAATTCAAGCAGTTCTGCTGTATGGCTTTCTCCATCACCATGCAGCCAAACGTAGGAGGAATATACAGGATTATGGGTGGTGGACCTGGAGCTGGAAGGGTCCTGGGGCCACCTGGTCTATTTGACAGCCTTCATTTCACAGAGCAGGATGCTGATGACTAAGGAGAGAAAATGACCTACCCACAATCACATGGGGCATGTGGAAAATGGAATTAGGTCACGGGTACTCTGCTTTCAGAGATGACTGGGAGGAGGGGGAGGAGGGGAAAAGGGGGAGAGGAGGAGCAGGCGAGGCCCCACCACGTGCACTCTGCCTGGCCAGGCCTCAACTCCCACCTCCGACACCTACAGATGGAGCGACCTGATGATTGGATGACAGCTCAGCCCCGCCCCCGGAAGCAGACCAATGAGCGCGTCGGTTGGGGAGGGGCGTGGCCAGAAGCCAGAGCTTCACGTTCCAAATGTGGCGCCTGAGGCCCCGCCCTCTTTTTCCCTCCCGTCGCCCTCGCCTCCCTTCCTAGAGGACCCATCTTAGCCTCCTCGGAGGCCTCAGGGTCAGAGCTAGCCCGGAACCAGGGGCACGCGGAAACCTCTGTAGCTGAAGGGCGGGCAAGGTTCCGAAGCAGCGACTTCCGGTGCTGATTTCCACACTTCCGAGCCTGGCCTGTCACGTGTCCTTGCTTGGCCAGGATGACTAAGGCATGTCCTGGGGCCACTGGGGAGACTTGTGCGCATGCTCAGGAGAGCCCAGCCGAGCCTGGTGGACTCCATCGTATCATCCATCCTCTCCTGAGCCAGGGGACCTGCAGGAGGTGGGGGGGGGGGCAGTCGGAGACCACTCCAGGACCACCGCCGCACAGCACATCTTGGTCTCACAAGCCTGCCAGAACGTCTTACTCTTTACTCCCCCCATCCCTGGCCTGGAGCAGCCTTCAAGGCTCTGCTCAAGTTTTAAAGGCCTCCTCTGGCACTAGTTGTCCTACTCACCTAATTCAGTGTTTGATGGTGAAGATGGGGTCCCCAAACAAGCCCCTCAGTGTCCTGTCGCAGCCAAGGCTCTTCACTTTCCCTACTGGACATGCGTGAAAGTGCCTGGTGGGCCATTGGCTCTGTTTCTGGTGGCTGGATCCCTGCACCTTAAACATAGGAGGCCACCCAACCTTTATCCCTCCCCCCAACTCCTGCCCCCTCCTAGTGTTAAGATGAATTTGGGCCTTAAATAGAGATGAGGTGTGAATATATGTGGGGGGGTGATGTTGAAACAAGTAAGACTCGGGTCTTCCTGACTCCAGGTTCTCTGTGTCACCAAGTACAGTTGGCTTAACCTCTCTGAGCCTCATCTGTCAAATGGGAATTATCACAGTGCCAACCACATGTCAAAGCACCTTTTTTTTTTGGGGGGGGAGGCATTTGGGGTTAAGTGACTTGGCCAGAGTTACACAGCTAGTGAGTGTTATGTGTCTGAGGTCATATTTGAACTCAGGTCTTCCTGACTCCAGAGCTGGTGCTCTAGCCACTGTGCCGCCTAGCTGCCCCTAAAGCCCTTTTCAGCCTTGAAAGCTGATGTAGATGGGAACTGCTCTTGTCTCACTTTTGCGCTTCAGTTTTTGGCAGGACTGCTACGCTTAATAGTTGAGGGAACATCATAGAATTTGCCTGGAATTTTAAAAAGCTTCGTGAAAAGTACTGTGTTCTGTTCTTGTGGAACACATAGGGATGCACAAGCTAGACAATGATGCAAGGAGGATGACTGAAACTGGTTGCACAGACTCAAAAAGAGGTTGTTAATGGTTCGGTGTTAATATGTCAGGACGTCTCTGGCAGAGGGCCCCAGGGATCTGTCCTTGGCTGAGTGCTGTTGGTGTTTTGTTTTGTAATCAGTGAGTTGGAGCTCTTCAATCACAGACTGGATAACCATTTGTCCCCCTTCCAACTATTAAATTTTGCAATTAATATTAGAGGACATTACATTTGGTCCTGAAAGGAAGCCACTGGAGTTTATGAGTAGGGGGTGGGGTGACATAGTCAGACCTGAGCTTGAGGAAAATCCACTTGGTGGATGAATGGAGGATGGAGCAGAGTGGGGTGAGACCTGAGGCAGGCAATTCCAGCACCCCAGCAGCTATCGCCATAGTCTAGGCATGGGGTGATAAGGACCTATACCAGAGAGGTGGCTATCAGAGGAGAAAAGGGGGCATGTTGGGCAGATGCTGCAGAGGTGAAATCCACAAGACATTCTGTAGATAGAGGTGAAATCCACAAGAGATGCTTAAAGATAGAGGTGAAATCCACAAGAGATGCTGTAGATGGAGGTGAAATTCACAAGAGATGCTGTAAGATAGAGGTGAAACCCACAAGAGGTGAGATGCTGTAGATGAAGGTGAAATCAACAAGAGATGAGATGCTGTAGATAGAGGTGAAATCCACAAGAGATGCTGTAGATGGAGGTGAAATCAACAAGAGATGAGATGCTGTAGATAGAGGTGAAATCCACAAGAGATGCTGTAGATGGAGGTGAAATTCACAAGAGATGCTGTAAGATAGAGGTGAAACCCACAAGAGGTGAGATGCTGTAGATGAAGGTGAAATCAACCAGAGATACTGTAGATTGGGTGAAATCCACAAGAGATGCTGCAGAGGAGAAGGCCACAGCTTGGATATGAGTAAGAATTGAGAAGGACCCTGGGGTTGGGAACCTGGGACATTTGATCTCCTGAAATTGACAAATGCTGCTGGGGTGGTGGCAGAACAGACCCAGGACCATTCCTATGTCTCCCAAAGCAATGACTCCACCTCTTTGTTGTTTCCTGGCATCCAGCCGGCACCCCCCACAACATCCTGCCCCCCAAGCCAACCCAGAATTTTGGGGAAGATGATATTGCAACTTTTATTTTACATAGGCAGAGGGTCAAAGGCTCCAACCCTCCCCTTTTGAGGCTGTGAGAAGTTACAGAAGCACTAGACAGCCAACTCCAGACCCTTCTCCTGAATGAGCAAAGAGACCAATTCCCATTTGCCCTTGTTTCTTTGCAACTGGCTCCACATAGTTTTCATTCCCTTTGCTTTTTTGTACAGATCCCCTCTCCCTGGGTATCCAGGGAAGCTCTATGGCTAAGGCTCAGCCATGCCTTTCTCCCTATCAGTAGATCTTTTTCCTTCTCCTGCTCAGTCAGTAGCTGGGTGGAGGAGAGGGAATTGAGTGGCTGGTTTGGAGAACCACTAACAGCTTCTTCCTTCACTTCCTGGCTCTCTTGGTGACTTAGAATCCACACAATGGTCAGCAGAGTTAGAAGGAACCTGGACTTTTCAGGAGGGCCATGAGAGCACCATAAGCTAAGTGGGTCTGTTGAGCACATTGGAGAGGGGGACTTGATGGCAGCAGGGAAGAGGGATTCAGAAAACTGGGGAGATGGGGGGGGCCCAACCCTGGAGGAGCTCAGCAAGAGGACATCTCTCATTGGTCCTCATCTGCCTGCCTGGCATCTTTTCCCTAACCCCACAGGGATAAGTATCTGGGGGTGGGAGGGAAGAAGGAGAGGCCCAGGAGGACCTGGAATCATTGGGAGGTAGCAGTGGGAATTTGGGGCAGAACCTCAGCCTGATGGGGGTCTGGTTGAGGCAGGCTCCTCCAGGCTAGCTCCAGGAGGCCATAGCGGCTCTTACCCAAGGGCAGGACAGTGTGCACCTGGTTCTTCTCTGGCAGAGGCACCACCAACTGGAAGGTGAATGGCTCTGGTGGGGTCAATTCATTGTTACACAGGAGATGGTAGAGGATCCGCTCTCCAGGGACCACCTCTGTGATCTGCAAGGCTTTTTTGTAGATGATCTGTTGAAGGGGGTGGGCTTTCCGGTCTGAGAGCTCCTGTAGCAGCTGCTGCATCTTTGGAGTCTTGACTTGGTAGAGATCTAAAATCTGGCAGACCTGGCCTATCAACGTGGAGCTTGCAGATTGATTCTCCTGCTTCTGCACTGCTAGGAGGACATGGTAGAGAGCCAGGAAGGTCTCCCACTGCAGCTTCTTCTTTGCATCTGTCTTCACTGAAAAGGGTAGGGGCAGGGGCCGGGGCCTGGGCTTCTGTGTGGCTACAGTGGGCAGTGATCCTTCTGGGGGTCCAAGCCTTGCTGCAGTGAGTGGGAGTCTTCCTGGGGCTCCAGGCCTTGCTGCAGTGAGCAGGGGCAGAGGCCTGCGCTCCCACTTGGCTGCAGCGGGCAGGAATCCTTCTGGGGGTCCAGGCCTTGCTGCAGGGGGTAGTAATGTTTTCTTTGCCTTCATCTTAGACAGCTGATGGTCCCTTATCTTGGCCTTCCAGAACTGAACATTTCGCTGGAGTTTTAAGATCTCAAGGATCTTTGCTGAGTAAAGGGGAGAAATATTAGCCAGGTCTTTCATGACTGGTCCAAGAAACTCTGGTCTGCTGTCTCTGGCCTTACTTTTGGCAGCCAAGTGGGTGAGGAGGCCATAGTGAATGGATGGCCTGGAGAGAGGGGGAAGCTCAGGCTGGTGCCTGAGGTCTTTTCTGGGTGGAAGCCTGGGGTATTCTTGCTGTGGAGGGATGACTTCCATGGTGGGCCAGACACGCTCAGGGACTGGTTGGGGAGGCTTGGGGACCTCCCAGTGGGAGGCAATGGCCTCCAGATTGGCCATCTGTACCCACTCCAGCTGCTTCAAGGGCGAGGTCTGCTCCAGCAGCTGGCAAAGGTGGTCCATGTTTCTTTTGGTAATCTTACCTTGTTTACGAATCTTCCTCAGGGCAGCCTGGAATCGGTCCCAGCCTCCTTTGTGGGTCATGTGGGAGAATGCACTACACACAAAAGCCAGAGTTTTTCTGTGTCGGGCAGCGGTGTCCTTGAAGGCTCTGACAGTCTGGTGAATCCGCAGAAACCACCTCCAGTGGTCTCTGGGCAACTTCTTCGGGGGAGCCACAGCAGCAGGTCCCATGACATCCAGGGTGGGAGTCTCTGGGCACGCTTCAGATGGCTGAACCTTCTTGACCTTCAAGAGCATCGGGGTTGAGGTCATTGAGTCCTTTAGCTTGGGTGGGGGTCTGGGCTTGTGCTTGGCCCTGGCGAGGAGCATTAACTTCAGCATCTCTTCCCGGGATTCACTGGCGGTCATGGCTGGCTGTGGTGGCTGCAGGAGCCCTGGCGTCGATTTCCATGGTGTCTCTTTCCGAGGCATCGTTTTCCCCTCAACTTTCAGCCTAGCCTTTTTCACAATGACATCCTTCCATTTCTCTTTGGCATCCTTCTTATCCACTGTTTGAATAGTTTGAATAGCCTCACCAAGATCCTTTGGTGGGCCCAATTCCTCAGCAGGAGTTATCTCCCTGGTGGACTCAGCAGGAGCCATTTCTTCCACAGATAGAAATGATCCCTCCTCTTCCTCTTCCTGTTCTCTTTCTTCTTCTTCCTGTTCTTCCTCTTCCTGTTCTCTTTCTTCCTCTTCTTCTTCCTCCTCCTCCTCTTCCTCTTCCTCCTTGCCGGCCAGCTTCCCCTCCTCTGTAAACATGGACTTGTCCGTCTCAGCTTCCTGTGCAGCTTCTGCCCTCTGGAGCTTCAGAAGCTTCATCCTTTGCCATTGGATGAATTCCATGCTATCACTCATGTTTTGAATTGCAATTGCTTCCACCTTCAGGCTCTCCTCTGAAGTCATCTTTCTTTCCCACAAAGCCAGCTTGCCCTCCCTCCTGGTGATTTCCTTCTCTTTCTTTGTCAGCCTCTTCAGCTCTTTCATTAGCAGCCTTTTCTCCTTGGATAGTATCCTGTGCTCCTGGATTATTTCCCTCTCCTCTTCGGCCAGCCTCTTCTCAATGAGCATCAGCCTCTTCCGCTCCTCTTGAAGTTTTGCCCTGGCCGAGGACTCTGGGCTCCCACCTCCTTCTTCCAGAGGCAAGTCCTCAAATAGCATCTTCCCTTCGGACAGCTGCTGCCTTTTCAGGCTGAGCCACCTGCGCTCATCTCGGACTGCCCCAATCTCTTCCTCAGTCTTTTTAATTTCCATCAGATGCCTAGTCCACGCCTCATTGACTGTTTCTAATAATTTCTGGCCCACCAGCTTCTCTTCTGTTATCAGTTCCATCTTCTTAATGGTCAGCTTCTTTTCTTTCTTGGTTGTCTCAAGCTCTTTCTGGATCAAGTGCCTCCAGATAATGAGCACCCTCTGCCTCCCAGCAGACACCTCTTGCTCTTCCACACTGAATCTCTTCCTTTTCACTGGCTGCTCCTGACCTTCCATCAACAGCTTTTCCTCCTCCAGCTTGACTGCTTCTGCCATTTTCATCCTTTCCTCCTCTTCCATAAGCAGACTCTCTATCTCACTAGGCAGCTTATGCTCTTCCTCTTCTTCCTCTTCCTCCTCTTCCTCTTCCTCTTCCTCTTCCACCATGTCTAGCTTTAGCTCTTGCTCCCCAGTGGGCAGCATCGTTTTCATCTGATGACGAAGTCTCTTTGCTCCCTTGGTATCAGCCTCGGGCACATGCTCTTCCTCCTCTCCGGAGACAGCCTCTCCTTCCTTACCCTTGTCCTTCTTTCCCGAGGTGGGCACCTCGTCTTGTGAGAGGTGGAATTTTCTCCTCTGCTGATGAAGTCTCCGCCCCTTCATGCCCTCCTCTTGGGCCCATCTCTGCTCCTTCATAAGTAGCCTTATCTCCTCGTCCATCAATGCTTGCTGCTCCTGGTTCAGTTCCATCTCTCTCTGGATCATCATCATTTCTAGCTGGGTCAGCATTATCTCCTTCTGAGTCTGCCTCTTTTCCTCCTGGATCACCTGCAGCTCTGCCAGAGTCAGTCTCCTCTCTTCTTCAGTAATCATCTTGTCTTCAGGGGACCAGCCCAGCACACCTTCAGCCTCTGCCCTCTGCGCTCCTGTCAGGGCATGCTTTGCAAAAAGAGTCAGTTCTCTTTCTTCTTGGGCCTTCGTTCTGTCCTCCCAGGCCTGAATTCTGTTCTTCTGAGCTTTTTCCATTTTCAGCTTTATGATGTCCATCTGCTCCTTCATCTGTTTCCTTTCAATAGTGGCCAGCAGCTTCTCCTCTGTGGTGGCCTCGAGATCCTCAGGAAGAAGTCCCCTGTCACTTTTCATTGGCTCCCTGGCCTTTGTGCTCTCTTCTTTGGACTTTATTCTCTCCTCCCTGCTCAATCTAATGGTTTTTTTGGCTACCTTCATTTCCTCTTTGAACAGCTTGAGCTCTTCCGGTTTTGTATCCTTTTGGGTCAGGATGTCCTCTCCCTGGATCACAAACATCTCTTCTTTGGTCAGATTGTCTTCTTCCTTGGCCAGTGCCTCTTGCTCCTTGGCCAGCCATTCATGCTCCCTGCTCAGCTGGTCCTCTCTCCAGGCTAGTTCCTTCTCTACCATGGCCAGCTCCTGCTCTTCCCTGGCAAGCTTCCTCTCTTTCCTGGCCAGTATCTTTACCTGCCTGGACAGCCTCATTTCTTGCTTAGTGAAACTGAGATCTTCAAGGAAGAAGACTTTCTTTTGCCTGGTTTTGGAGGAGGAGGAGGGAAGGATGAGTTCCAATTCCTCCATTGTCTCTTCCTCCATGTCCTCTTCCTCCATGGCCTCTTCCTCCATTTCTACTTCCATCTCCTCCACATCTCCTTGTACATCTTCGATGGGCTCTGGGCTGGGCTCCTCTGACCGAGGGTGCATATCCTGAAAGAGTGCCCAGCTGGGCTGCCACTCCAGCAGGACCTCCCGGGCCAAGGTCACCAGCTCATCACTCAAGTCCTTGGCCATGCTGTCCTGTGGGGTAGAAATACGCAGGGTCATGAGTTGGCAAATGTCATCCCACCAAGAAACTTGCTCCTTGTCAAGCATCCTTGGCTTCTTCTCAGATTCAGGGGGTGCTTCTACTATGTCCTGGACCTCCTCCTCCACTTCTTGCTCAGTTTCCTTTTTTTCTTTTTCCTTCTTACTCATTTCAGGCTTCTTTTTCTTGGCTCTTTTGCTGCGAGTTCTCCTCATGACCTTCAGGCTCACTTCCACATAATCGGGCAGGACTTCTGGTGGAGGGGACCGGGTTTCTAAAATACTGTGTTTGTGCACATCTGAAGTCACCAAGAGAAGGGCTGAGGATGGTGTAGGAGATGGCCAAGTATCTCTTCTCTGAACCACTATCTTCTCAATAGCTTCTGTCTCCTTGTGTCCAGAAGGCAGCATGATGGGTCTCTCTTCTTCTAATTTCATGGGTCCTTCTTCTCCTTCTTCTTCTTCTATCGATTTCATGAGTCCCTCTTCTTCTATTGACTTCTTGTGTCCCTGTTCTCTTGATTTCTTGCATCCCTCTTTTAATTTCTTGAGAGTTTTGGCTACACGGGAAAAATGGGAAATGGAGCATTAAAGGGAAGCCCAACTGTACAAGCCTGTAAGCCCAGGGTGGGTGGATGAGCTTGGCTGGGGCTCGGCAGACTCCACTGATGGCCATGTTGCCCCTTCAGCACTGGGTGGGTGTCTAGAATACAGGATCTCCCAATCAAAAGACCAAAGTTTTGGGGAATCGTGCAGTTCTTAACTCTTCCTGAACTAGAGTAGATACTGTAGCCCTGACTTTCTGCCCAACAACCATTCTTCCCATTCATCTCCACTCCTTGGAACACAGTACTTCATGGACCCTTGCATCTGCCTTTTCAGTTTAGACTCTGTCTCCTCCCAGCTCTCTCTCTCTCTCTCTCTCTCTTCTCTCTCTCTCTCTCTCTCTCTCTCTCTCTCTCTCTCTCTCTTTCTTTCTTTATGAAATAAACCAAACATTTCCAGAAAGTAGTATAATAAAAAAGATGATCACACATGAAACGGCAAACCTATTATGCACAACTTGCTATTCCTTTTAAATATATAATAAAGTTATCACGTCAGTTTCTTTTTCTTCTTCCCTCCCCCTTCCCTGCCCTAGAGATGGCTACTATTAGACACAAATAAGTACATACATGTAAAATTATTCTATACTTCTATTTATCAGTTATTTCTCTGGATGCAGATAGCATCTTTCTTCATATGTCCTTTGTAGTTAATTTAGGTGTTTATAATAGTCAAAATGACTTACGCATTCAAAGTTGTTCTTAAAACAATATAGCTCATTTTCATCTCCTGGGTCATGTTATCCTTGCCCTTATTAGGGATTTGTCTAGAAGATGGGATACATCCACCTCATCTGGGGTTGGAGCAGATACCAGAAACCTTCTGGAGCTCAGAGAACCTGTCAGTGAGACTGAAAGACAAGGTCAGAGGAGCCATGGTCTCTGGGTATAGGCTTCCTCTAGGCTCCCTTCCTAGCTCAGAGTCTCAGAGGAATTCTGGACTACAGAAAACCCAGGCAGCATGGTGAATGGTGTCAGAGAACCTGGATTCCAATGGAAACCATTACTGATTACCTATGTGTCCTTAGGGAAATCACTTCATTTCTCTGGACCTCATTTTCCATGTCTGGACTCTGGGACAGTACCAATCCAAGAGTCTATGGTTCTCTGATCCCTGGGTTTGAGTCATGGCCCTACCACTTGCCAGAGGGGTAACTTTGGGGAAAACATCTCAGCTCTCTGAGCATCAGTTTCCTTACTTGTAAGCTAGGAGTAATCATCCTTGTACTACATGCCTGTTGGGCCTGGTTCCCCTAGAAGAAGCTGCCTTCTTGGAATCATAGTATGTCACAGCTAGGTCCTTCTGATGTCTAACAGCTTTGAGTGCATTGAGTCAATGTTCACCCTTTCCAGACCAAAAGGCCAGTGTTAAGAAGAATGTCAGAAGTTGCCTAGAATATCTTCCCACCACATGTGCAAGCGTCTGAGCATATCAGAACTGGAGATGGGGGTGGGGGTGGGCTAGGAACTTCAGAGGGCACCTAGTAATACTATCCCCAACATCCCAGACAAAAGATCATCCAATCTCTGCTCAGATCACACAGCCTCCTCTTCAGACTCCATTGGGAAGAGGAGTGGCACCTTCCACTCAATGGTGAACATTCTCACACCCTATACATTCTGAACTCTGTAGATCATCATCAAAACCACCTAATACTTCACCCCCACCCTCCCCCCAACCCTCCTACCCCAAAGTTTCATCCTAACTCCACCCAGCCCTTCCACTGTGCCCTCTAGGATGCTTGCTCCATAGGCAACAACCTTCACTTCATCTTAAATCTATTGTTCTCCCACTCCTTCCAACTACTAGCTCTTACTGAAACCTGACTTCCCCCTGCTGACACAGTTCCCTGGCCACCCTTCCCAATACTTTTCCCCAATACCTTTACTCATTCTCCTTGGCTCACTGGTTGAGGTGGGGGAGTTGGAAAGCTTCTTGCCACTTCCAGGTTCTCCTTCCTTTGTCACTCAGTAGCCCATCTTTCTTTAGGGTTCATGCTATTCATATCTCCCACCCAATCAAAATCCTGGTAGCTTTCACCTACAGACCTCCCCCCAGGTCATTCCCTTTCCTTCCTCAATGAGTTTGGTACCTGGCTCACAATGTTTCTCTCTTCTCCAACTTTTGCCTTCATCCTAAGGGACTTTAACATACATAGACCCTCCCTCAAATACCCTAACCATTCAATTTCTCAACCTACTCACTTCTCATGAGCTACTCTTCTATCTTACCTTAGTCACACACAAAGATAATTATACCCTTCATCCTTCCATCACCCACAAATATAGCTCCCCCATTTCAAGAATTCCAAAATCCCCTTATCTGAACATAATCTGTTTGTTTTCTACCTCTCCCTCTGCCTTCCCTTACCAAACCCTATTGTTTATCTTTGCAGTGACTTCTAATCTCTTGACTCCTCAATTTTCTCCCAGGCCATCTCCCCTGCACTAACTACTCTTTCCTTTTTACCCCATCTTGACCCCTTGGTGAGCCAATTCAGCCCTGCATTTTCCTCTTCTCTTGACTCTCTGACCCCTTTATAACATTGATTGTAAACCGCTAAGCCTCAGCCTCAGATGATTCCCACCATCCACTGCCTTTGCTCCTACCTACCAGAGAGAATACCCAGAGGTGAGAGATATAGGGTCTTGTCTGCAGACCAGCCAGGAGGCTGGTGCCACTAGATCAGAGTAAGGAGTTAGAGACTGCAGCTGAACAAAGATAGAGAAGATCATGCGACCATTCTGACTAGGTCCACTACAAATTTCCACTACTAAACCTCAGTTGGGCCCGCACTACTGCCAGGCAATACTAATCTACCTCCCTTATCAGCTCACTTTCCCACCCTCCACAGCAACTCTTCTAAGCCTTCTCATCTGTCCTCAATCCTTCCATGGCTTCTCTTCAACCTACTCTTTCAGCTGAGAACCTTGCCTTATATTTTATGAGAAAAAAATTAACGTCATTCACTGTGAGCACCTTCTCTCCTCTTCCTCACCTCCTATGCCTCAGGTGCCTTCTGCCTCTCCTCCATCACCCTTGTCTCGTGTGATAAGGGAGCCTTGTTTCTGACCAAGGCAAACCTCTCTCCAGGCTCAAACAGTCCAATTCCGTTCCACAGCCTCCAATGGAACGCCCCCTCTGGCATCCCCACTCTTTCATTTATTGTCAATTTCTGTCTCTCTTTGTCTGCTGGCTCCTTCCCTCCTGCCTATATGTCTCCCTTCCCTTGATCCTTCCACTATCCTCTTCTGCCTCTGGTGGCCAAGCTCCTTGAGATGCCCATCTACAGGGGGCACCTCTCCTCTCCTTTCCCTTCTCAGCTCCTTATAATCCAGCTTCTGAGTCATCATTCTACAGAACTGCTCTCTCCAACTTCACAAAACTCTTAATTGCTGACTCCAGTGGTGTTGTCTCAATCCTCCTTCTCCTTGCCTCTCTGCAGCCTTGTGCATGGTCGACTGCTCTCTCCTTCTCTCTAGGTTTTCAGGATACCCATGACCCTGATGCTGGGAAAGATTGAAGGCAAAAAGAAAGGGGGATGACAGAAGATGAGGTGAATACACAGGGTCATGAACTTGGACTTCGGGAGATAGCCAAGGATGAGGAAGCCTGGCATGCTGCGGTCCACAGGGTCACAAAGAGCCAGGCACGACTCAACACCACCACAACCACCGGCATCCTTCCTGCTTCTCCTCTCACGTCTCTGACTGCTCCTTCTGGCTCCTTCGCTGGATCCTTGTCCAGATCATGCCCTGTAACTGTCCCCCAGGACTCTGGCCTGGACCCTCTTCTCTTCTCCCCCTAGACTACTGCACTGGGTGATCTCATCAGCTCTAATAGATTTAATTACCATTTCTATGCTGATGCAGGCCTTGAACCTGGGTTTTCCAGGCTCCAGGTTCACTGCCCTAGCTATTATACCACACTGACTTTCTCCAGGTACAAGATCTGAGGATCATGATATTTCAGAGTTGGAAGGGTTCTTCAAGATCAGATCAAATCCTCCAGGAATTATGTGAACATATTTATAAAACACTTTTTATAAATAAAGTCAGATTTAAATAACTGGATAAATATTAATTGTTCATGAGTGGGCCAAGCTGATATAATAAAAATGACAATTCTACCTAAACTAATCTACTTATTCAGTGCCATCCCAATTAAACTACCAAATATTTATTTTATTGTGCATGAAAAAATAATAAAATTCATTTGGAAGAACAAAAAGGCCAAGAATATCAAAGGAATTAATGAAAAAAAATGTAAAGGGAGGAAGTCTAGTAGATCTTGCATCCTTTTCAGATCACGATGAAATAAAAGTTACATATAATAAAGGGCCATGGAAAGATAGATTAAAAATTAATTGGAAACTAAATGATCTAATCCTAAAGAATGAGTGGATCAAACAACAAATCACAGAAACAATAATTTCATCAAAGAGAATGACAATAATGAGACAACACACCAAAATTTATGGGATGTTGCCAAAGCAGTACTTGAGGGAAAATTTAAGTCTCTAAATGCTCACATGAATAAAATAGAGAAAGAGCAGATCAATGAATTGCTCACAAAATTGAAAAATCCCCAATTAACACCAGACTAGAAACTCTGAAAATCAAAAGAGAGATCAATAAAATTGTAAGTAAGAAAACTGTTGTACTAATCAATAAAACTAAGACCTGGTTTCATGAAAAACCTATAAAATAGATAAACCTTTGGTTAATTTGATTAAAAAAAGATAGAAGAAAACCAAATTATCAGCATCAAAAATGGAAAGGACGAATTCACCACCAATGAAGAGGAAATTAAAGCAATCATTAGGAGCTATTTTGCCCAACTGTATGCCAATAAATCTGACAATCTAAGCGAAACAGATGAATATTTACAAAAATATAAATTGCCCAGATTAACAGAAGAGGAAATAAAATACTTAAATAACCCCATTTCAGAAAAAGAAATTGAACAAAGCATCAACGAACTCCCTAAGGAAAAATCTCCAGGGCCAGATGGATTTACAATTCTTTTTTTTTAAATTTTTTTTTACATGTGTCTTTAAAACTTTAGGTTATAAATTTTCTCCCTTCCTCCCTCCCCACCCACCCTCATTGAAAAGGCAAGCATCTCAACACAGGTTATAGATGTGTAGTCATGCAAAACACTTCCATAGTAGTCATGTTGTGAAAAACTAAGTATATTTCCCTTCATCCTCTCCTACCCCCCCATTTATTCTATTTTCTCTTTTGACCCTGTCCGTCCTCAGAAGTATTTCCTTCTGATTACCCCCTCACTGAATCTGCCCACCTCTCTATCACCCCCCTGCTCTCTTGTCCCCTTCCCCCCTTATTTTCCTGTAGGGTAAGATAGATTTCCATACCCCACTGTGTATGTTATTCCCTCCTTAAGCCAAATCCTATAAGAATAAGATTCACTCATTCCCTCTCACCTTCCCCCATTTCCCCTCCACTGTAAAAGCCTTTTCTTATCTGTTTCATGTGAGATAATTTACCCCATTCTACTTCTCCCTTTCTCCTTCTCCCAGTATAATCCTCTCTCACCCCTTATTTTTATTCTCCAGATATGACCACTTCATCTTCAACTCATTCTGTGCCCTCTATCTATCTATCTATATATCTATATCGATACATACATATAATTTTCCCCTCCAACTACCCTAATACTGACAAAGGACTCATGAGTTACAAATATCATCTTTCCATGCAGGAATGTAAACAGTTCAACCTTAATAAGTCTCTTATGATTTCTCTTTCCTGTTTACCTCTTCCATGTTTCACTTGAGTCTTGTATTTGAAAGTAAAATTTTATATTCAGCTCTGGTCTTTTCCTCAGGAATGCTTGAAAGTCCCCTATTTCATTGAATGACGATTTTTTCCCCCTGAAGGATTATACTCAGTTTTGCTGGGTAGGTGATTCTTGGTTGTAACCCTACAAGTGAATTCTACCAAACATTTAAAGAACAATTAATTCCAATACTATCTAAACTGTTTGGAAAAATAAGTGAAGAAGGAGTCCTACAAAATTCTTTTTATGACACCAATATGGTGCTGATACCCAAACCAGGAAGAGCCAAAACAGAGAAAGAAAATTATAGATCAATTTCCCTAATGAATATTGATGCAAAATTTTAAAATAAAATATTAGCAAAGAGATTACAACTTATCACAAGGATAATACATTATAACCAAGTGGGATTTATACCAGGAATGCAGGACTGGTTCAATATTAGGAAAACTATCAGCATAATTGACCATATCAGTAACAAAATTAACAGAAGTCATATGATTATCTCAGTAGGTGTAGAAAAAGGTTTTGACAAATACAGCATCCATTCCTATTAAAAACACTACAGAGCATAGGAATAAGTGGAGTTTTCCTTGAAATGATAAGTATCATTGATCTAAAACCATCAACAAGCATTATATATAATGAGGATAGGCTAGAAGCATTCCCAGTAAGATCAGGGGTGAAACAAGGGTCTCCATCATCACCACTGTTGTTCAGTGTGGTACTAGAAATGTTAGCTTTAGCAATAAGAAAAAAATTGAAGGAATTAGAATAGGCAATGAAGAAACAAAGCTATCACTCTTTGCAGATGATATGATGGCATACTTACAGAATCAAGTAAAAAACGACTTGAAATGATAAACAACTTTAGTAAAGTTGCAAGATACAAAACAAACCCACATAAATCATCAGCATTTATACATACATATATATAATATGTATGTATACATGTATATAAAACTAACAAAGCCTAAGAGATAGAAAGAGAAATTCCATTTAAAATAACTGTAGACAACATAAAATATTTGGGAGTCTACCTGTCAAGAGAAACCCAGGAACTATAAGAACACAATTATAAAATACTTTTCACACAAATAAAATCAGATCTAAATAATTTGAAAAATATCAGTTGCTCATGGGTAGGTTGAGCTAATATAATAAAAATGATGATTCTATCTAAATTAACTTACTTATTCAGTGCCATACCAATCAAACTACCAAAAAATTATTTTATAGAGCTAGAGAAAATAATGACAAAATTCATCTGGAAGAACAAAAGGTTAAAGAATATTAAGGGAATTAATGAAAAGAAATGCAGGGGAAGGTGACCTAGCCTTACTAGATCTAAAACTGTGTTGTAAAACAGCAATCATCAAAACTGCTTGGTACTGGCTAAGAAATAGAGCGGTGGATCAGTGGAATAGATTAGGTACAAAAGACACAGTAGTAAGTGACTATAGTAATCTAATCTACTGTTTGATAACCCCAAGACCCCAGCTTCTGGGATAAGAACTCACTATTTGATAAAAACTGCTGGGAAAACTGGAAAAGAGTATGGCAGAAACTAGGAATAGACCAACATCTTATACTTAAATGGGTACGTGATTTAAACATATAAAGGCTGATCCTATAAGCAAATTAGGAAAGCAAGGAATAGTTTATCTGTCAGAGCTATGGAGAGGGGAAGAATTTATGACCAAACAAGAGATAGAAAACATTATGAAATGCAAAATGGATAATTTTGATTATATTAAATTAAAAGGTTTTGCACAAACAAAACCAACAGTCAAGATTAGAAGGGAAGCAGAAAGCTGGGAAACAATTTTTACAGCCAGTGTCTCTGACAAAGGCCTCATTTCCCAAATATTTAGAGAACTGAGTCAAATTTATAAAAATGCAAGTCATTCCCAATTGATAAATGGTCAAAGGATATGAACAGGTAGTTTTCAGATGAGGAAATTAAAGCTATCTATAGTCATATGAAAAAATGCTCTAAATCACTATTGATTAGAGAAATGCAAATTAAAACAACCCTGAGGTACCACCTCACACCTATCAGATTGGCTAATATGGCAAAAAAAGAAAATTATAAATGTTGGAGAAGATGTGGGAAAATTGGGACACTAATGCATTGTTGGTGGAATTGTGAACTCATCCAACCATTCTGGAGAGCAATTTGGAGCTATGCCCAAAGGGCAAGCAAACTGCATATATTTGATCCAGCAATACCGTTATTCAGTCAGTATGGAAAAGAGATCATAAAAAGTACCTACATATACAAAAATATTTATAGCAGCTCTTTTTGTGGTGGCAAAGAATTGGAGATTGAGAGGATGCCTATCAATTGGGGAATGGCTGAACAAGTTGTGGTATATGAATGTAACAGAATACTATTATGCTATAAGAAATGATGAGCAGGTGGATTTCAGGAAAACTTGGAAAGACTTACATGAACTGATGCTGAGTGAAGTGAGCAGAACCAGGAGAACATTGTACTCAGTAAAAGCAACATTGTGCGATGATCAACTGTGATACACTTAGCTCTTCTGAGCAACACAGTGATCCAAGACAACTCCAAAAGACTCATGATGGAAAATGCTATCCACCTCCAGAGAAAGAACTCTGGAGTCTGCATGCAGATAGAGGCATATGATTCTCACTTTTTTGTTTGTTTTTTGTTTGGTTTTTGTGGCTTCTCCCTTTTCTTCTGTTTCTTCTTTTACAACATGACTAGTGTGGAAATATGTTTACATGACGGTACATGTATAACCTATATCAGATTGCTTGCTGTCTTGGAGAGGGAGGAGGGGAGACAGAAAAAAATTTGGAACTCAAAATCTTATAAAAAATGAATGCTGAAAACTATCTTTACATGTAACTGGAAAAAAATAAAATACTATTTACACACACATACATATATATATAAATGATGAGGGGGATAGTTTCAGAGAAACATGGGAAGATTTGTACGAACTGAAACAGGATGAAGTGAACAGAACCAGGAGAACAGTTTATACAATAAAAACCATGTTGTGAAGACAAACACCTTTGAAAGACTCAGCAACTCTGAGGAATACAGTAACCGAAGCACAAGTGCAAAGGACTCATGATAAAACATGCTACCCACTGATACGTAGAGAACAGACAGTCTTGGAGTGCAGGTGAAAGTTCCCTCCCCTTCCATCCTCCCTTCCTTCCTTCCGTTCTTCCTTTGTTTCTTTGAGTATTGGGGAAATTTGTTTTCCTTGACTATATATGTTTGTAATGGGTTTCCTTTTTCTTGCCTTCTCCTTGGGTAGAAGAAGTAAGGGGAGGGAGAGAATTTGAAAATGAAAAAAAGAAAAGAAAAAAACCCTGCTTTCAAAAAATACATATTTTTGAAAAAAGACTTAGCAACTGTGATCTACCCAACAATCCACCACAATTGCAGAGGACCCTGATGAACCTGCTGCTTGCTGCCTGGAGTCAGGGTGCAGAAGAAGACAGACCACGGCGCATGAGGCCACAGTATCTGGACACAGCCAATGCAAGAATTTGTTTGGCTTCCTACTTATACATGTTTGTGACTTTTTTTCTTTTCTTTGTCAAGGAGAGAACAGGGCTAGGAGAGAAAGAAGGCAATTGCATTAGCTGAAAAAAAATGTAATTGAAAAAAGATAAAGCAAAAGAAATACCTAATCCGACCTACTTATTTTGCAGATGTGTACTAAGTACCAGAGGTAGGATTCGTACTCTGGTCTTCTGATCACACCCCACAAAGCCCCTCAGCAAGGCCCTTCCTAACCTGTGCTTCCCTCTTGGGGTAGGCTTCTCTACAGTGCTGTGGCTCCAGGACCCTGAAGGCTCCTCCTCCTTGGGTTCTCAGCCCTACTTACCCAGCAGCTTCTTGGTTGGTCTCAGCCCATGTGGTTTGCCTGCTCTGGGAGGCTTGGCAGGCTCTGGGGAAGGCTCAGGGGAAAGATGGAAAGGCCTTTTAGTGTGCTCAATCATCTCCATCATCTCCCTCTCCTCCAGCTCTGTGACTTCTAAGGACAGGGGGACCTCTTTTTCTCTGTCCTGCTTGGTCAGGTTTTCCTCAAGGTATCTGTCCACCTGACTAGACAGGATCTGCAGGTCCACTGGCCGAATCCCCAGTATCTGATCCAGACTTTCATTTCCTGTGTGTTGGTTCCTATGGAAGCCAAGGGGCAGAATCAAAGGAGGGCCTTCAGAACAGGGGATGTCAGAGCTGGAGGGAAGCCAGGGCTTAGAGCAGAGATTGTCAGAGATCCTGGGGCTGGGTGGGTTCTGGGGAGGGGTTTTGTCGAAGGGCTTAGAACTACAAACATAAGAGCTGGGAAGGTCCTTAGAGCAAAGAAGATTAGAGCTGGGAGGAGTCTTAGAATGAGAATATCAGGGCTTCAAGTTTCCTCAGAACCAAGAATGTCTGGGCTGGGAATAGTCTAAGAACTGGAAATAACAGCTGGGGTGGCGGTGGTATGAGGGCTTAGAACAGAGAATGTCAGGGGTGGGAAGGTCTCAGGACAGGGACCATCAGGGCTGGAAAGGACCTTAGGACATATAATGTCAAAGGTGCAGGGCCTTTGGAAAAACGAACAGGCGCCCTAACATTTGTGTTCAGCTCTCTAAGGTCTGCCAACAAGGGCATTTTACACACGATGTCACACGGCGTGTCTAGAGCAGGAGCTGCCTTGGGTTCTGGCTTTCTCTGCCCCGCCTTCTGCGACAGGACGGAACTAGAAGGGACCTTAGAACAGTGCTGGGGTTGAGCCCCCTCCCCTCCCACCCCGGAGCATCCCAGAGCCTGGGCTCTCGGGAGGAATGCCAGACACGGAGAGCCAGTGAATGTCGGTCCCCGAGATTGAGAGCGTGGTGGGAAGGGGCCGGGAGATGGAAGCCACACTTACTGCAGTTCGGAGAAGACGTTATCCCGCAGAAGCAGGTTGAGGAGCTCCGTCTTCGTTCTGATGCCCGCGACACCGATGATGAGATCCCTGGCTTTGCCTCGCACTTCGGAGTCCATGTCTAGGAGCCCCCAGGCCAAGGGGAGGGCAAACAGGTGGCTGAGGAAGCCCAGCTTCCGGAGCCCCTCCCAGGCCAACTTGCGGAAGACGGCCAGGAGGTGGGAGGTGTAGTCTGTCAGGTGTTTGGCGGTGGCCGAGCGCAGGCTGGGCGACACTGGGAAGGCGGCAAAGATTTGCGCCAGGGCATTGATGCACTTCTCGTACTTGTCTGGGTTCGAGCTGGTCATCATGTGGAGCAGGCTCTGTATCATGCTGTCCACGGCCCCCTCGCTCAACGTCTGAGACAGCCTGTGACGGAGGTCTATGAAGACGTCGCGGGGCGAGTCGGAGACGGCTTCGGAGCGCTTCGCCAAGCGTAGGCGGGGCTTCCGCAACAGGCGCCCGAGCCTGAATTTGTCCCGCAGCACGGTGGGTACCCCTCCGAACGGAAGCTCCGGTAGTTCCCGAAGCTCTTCTGGCTCCTCGGTCTCGGAGGACGTGTCCGCAGAGGTCAGAAAGACAGGAGTGCCCTCCGGCCGGAGGAAAGCCCGAACCACCGAGTTAGGGACGTAGCCGTCAGGCGCTATGATCCACTTTCGCCCCTGGCCTAAAAACTTGCACAGCAGTGGATATCCGTGCACTCCGTGGCAGCCCAGCAGCCGGGTAGCCCGGGGGCCAGAGGGCGCAGAACGCACCCGCCGCTGGCGCGGGCTCTGCTTCGTCTCTTCGGCAGAGAACTGGAGCTGGTGTTTCTCGCTGTCCTTGTCCTCGGCTGCCGGGGTCAGGCCTGCTCCCTCCTGCACCACGCGGGGGACCGAGCGGTCAAAGGCAACGGCCCTGAAGTTGAGCAGCGTCTCCAGCCCTTCCAGCTTCTGCTGCCCGCTGCCGACATAGAGGTAGCGGGGCACAAAGATGCTCTTAAAGGACAAGAAGAAACCCGGCAGGAAGGGTTTGGGGGTCTCCTTCACTGTGTCGGGTATGTTCATGGCCATCAGGCGGCTCAAGAAAGCAGCAGGGAGAAGCATCAGGCAAGACACCAAGTAGAGACTCTGGTGGACGGACACAAGTAGGTCGCCCCGGTCATTGGCAAAGCAGAGAGCGCCGAACTTGAGGGCCGAGTCGAAGTGGGTCAGGAGTGTGCCCTGGAGGTCCCAGAGCTTGACCGAGCCGTCGGCAGCCCCGGTGACGAAGATGCCCAAGGTAAGGCAGATGTCGAAGGAAGTGACGGGATTCAGGTGCAGGGCTTCGGTCTCCAAGAAGCCCTCCTCCGGCTTAGTGTCCGGGGACACGAGGAAGTCCTGGTAGTGCCAGAGGCGTAGGCGATGGGTTTCAGTGATAGCGCTGACCGATTTGGGCAGCAGGATCAGCTGACTAAGCTTGCAGCTGCAGAGAATGCTGGTGAGGGTCACCAGGTTCACTGCGGCCCCTTCGAGGACGACCTCGGACAAGTGCACATAGTCGTCCATGCCGTAGGAACAGACGAGGGAGCTCTCCCGGGAGCTGCAGGGCATTCCCACCGAGGTGGCAAGCGCCAGCACTGTGGCAGAGTGCAAGTGCTTGGCAACGCGGGCGTGGTGATGCTGAGACAGCACCCTCACCATGCCGCTCTCGTGCCCACAGAACACTAAACCCTCCAGTCCCCGGCTCAGCTGGGGCCTCCCGTAGGCCAGACACTGCACCCTGTCGTCAGCATTTGGGGAGGCGCACAAGAAGTACTTGGCGGTGCACGGACAGCGGCCGGCGTCCAGCACCAGCACGTCCGATTTGCCCGTGGCCACGAAGATCTCCTCCCGGTCAGGGTCATAGGTCCAGTCGACGGCTTTTTCCAGGAGGGCAAAGGGCCAGGTGAGTAGCAGGAGCTCCCCAGTCAGGGGGCACAGGAAACGCAGGAGGCCATCCTCAGTGTAGCAGGAGATGCGAGAGGAGCTGCTGCCGCAGCAGATCTGACGCACCTCCTGAGGAGTGGACCCGCAGACGTTAAAGAGCCGATAGAAGCAGGGCAGATGATACACCGAGAAGGTGGTGCTAGTATGGGAGAAGAAGGCCTTGGATCTGAAGAACTGCAGGTTGACCAGCTTTTCCCCCAGGTTCACTTGCCGAAGGAGCATGCCCAAGGTCAGGTTCCACTCCTTGACCACGCCTTCTCTCCCAGCAGTGAGCAGGGTGTGGGCCTCAGGCCGGCTGCAGATGCACACCACTGCCTCGGAGTGGGCCTGGAAGCTGTACAAAGCATGGCACTGGTCGAGGTTCCAGGCCTGGACTTGCCCTTCTTTATTGCCTGTGTAGAGGTACCCCTGGGCAGTGCAGGTGAAAGAGCAGGTGACAGGTAAGCCGCTGCCCTGAGAGGTGAGGACCTTGACCTCCTCAAACTTGTCCCTCCCTAAACGCCTGAAGATGCGCACCAGGCTTTCACAGAGCACCACCATCTTCCCACTGGGGCCAGCCACGGAGATGTCCTGCACCAGCTCATTGCCAGCCATAAGCACCTCCCCAGCGAGGTGCAGTCCTCGCCCACTGGGCTCGATGATCCACATGAGCACAGCCCCAGCGACACCGGTGAGCAGCATCTCTGACTTGGGGTCATAGGCTAAGCAGTTCATGGAGAAACGACAGGGCACAACACACAGGGTCCGGAGCGACCGGGTATGGTCTCCAAAGATGCGAAGGAACATATCCCCACAGTAAGCAGCCAGTACTCTATGGTCCCCGGCATGCACCAAAGCCTGGACAGGAGGCAGGTACTCATACATAGGGAAAACTCTCTTCTCCACCTCACGGCTATAGACCTTCAGCTGCACCCACACCACAGCCTACAAGGAGACAAAGACAGAGAGGAGGCCGGATAAGGATGACAGAGCTGGGAGGGACCTCTGGGATCACTGGGTCCAATGCCCTCATTCTGTAGAGGTGGACACTAATGACCATGGGGGACCAGAGACAATGGTGCAAATGACAAGGCAGGGAGATAGTGTGAAGGGAAAGGAGAGAAGAAGGAAGAAAAGCACAGGGAAAGAAGCAGCAGGTGAAGCAATGGGGAAACCCAGCAGAGAGAAGACAGAGGACATGAAGAAGAGGCAGAAAAGAGGTGGTGGAGGAGATGAGAAGGCAGAAAAACAAGCAAGGAGAACATGGGAGAGGAAGTATGAAAGAAGACACAGGAGAAGACAGAGAGAGGAAATAGAAGAGAGATGGTAAAGGAAGAACACTCAATAGAAAAGGAGATGGGAGAAGCAAGAACTCGGGAAAGGGGAAATAGCTGAGGGAGGGGCCAGCCCATGGAAGGGAAGCTTTCTGAAAACCACAACTAGCTCCGAAGGGCAGGGGCATCCTGGGCAGGTCAGGGCTCAAGGGATTCCTGTTCATACATTAGATGCCCTCTAAGATCATGGCCTTCCAGCCAGGAGTCTCTTTCATTCACTGCCCCACCTCCTTAGGCCCAGAGAGAGAAGAGAGCTTGTCTCAGGTCACAAGGGACAGTGCTGGGACCAGCTGCACTTTCCTCTGGATATCCTAGGGCTGGGGTGAAGGAGCTTCCAGGACCAGAGCAGGGAGAGATGGCTAAAGCCAGCAGGAGCCCATCTCCAAGAATCTCTGTAGGTAGAAGGGAGCTCAGGGATATCTTACCCAAACCCAACCCACATCTCATCCCTTTGCATCCCCACTCTGCTCCCTCCCCCCAAATTGCCTCGTTGAGAACATACTTGACAAGTGGTTGTCCAGAACTGTCTCAGAGACCTCCAAGAAGAGGGAAAACCCACCCCCCTCTCAAGGCCCCCCAGGTGTTCTTAGTCAGCTTCCTATGGCTCTGAGGTCTACCTTCTGTGGTGGAACAGGAAACCCCAAATGCTCGCTCCTCCACATGACCGTTCCTAAACGCAGTCCTCTGCATGTCTTCTCCAGTGCCTTTATGGTCCTCATGGGACATGCACTGAATGCCCTTCACCATGTTGATTACCCTCTTCTGGAAAAGCTCCAACTTATTCCTGTCTTTCTTAAATCATGGTGCCCAGAATGGGACATGATACTCCAGATCTGATAAGCACGGAGTGAAGAGAAATTCTCACCTCCCTATTCCTGGAAGCTATGACTCTCAATATGGCCCCAGATCACATTAGCTTTCTTGGCTGGCACAGTCTGCTACTGATGTAGATTAAGCCTGCAGTCCACCAATGCCTCCAGATATTTTTCAGAGAAACTGCAGTCTAACAATACCTGCCCATATTGCTCTTGTAAAGTTGGGTTTTGGGTACTTATGTGTAAAATTTTACATTTATTGAATTGAATTTCATCTTTTTAGATTGAGCCAGCAGTGGCTTAACAATTTGACAGTCACACCCTCTTTCTCTTTTGTCACTAAACTCTTATTTGTTTTATTAAATTATATGATCTTCTAGCCTTCCTTTACTAACTTGTTTTATTTATATTAATTGCTTTACTGACCTTTTCTAACTTATCTTGCCTGGCCAACTTCTGCTTTCCCCTCCCGGCACTGTTTCTGACATTCTTTGAGACTTCAAAACCATGCCTCTGAACTGCATACCTTTATTTCCCATCCAGATCCTCGCAGTGTTTTTCAGCTCCCTTTGCATATGGTGTACCTCTATTAGAATGCAAGCTCCTTCAGGAATGAGACTAGACCACCTTTCTTCTGCATTCCTGGACCTTGGCACAGTGTCAGGCACATATAATGAGCGCTTAATCCACCCTCCTACCCTCCCTCCTTCTTTCCTTCTTCACCCCTCTTCTTTCCTACCACAAATCTAAATTCTATTGAGCTTAGGAGGTGGAGTAAATCAGTCAGTCAATCAATATTTATTAAGAGCCTACTATGTTTCAGGCATTATACTAAGTGCTGAGCCCACATACAGTCCATGCCCTGGAGAAGCTCACAATCCAATGGCTGTGGTGATAATGATAATAAGAGAGGAGAGGAAGCTGAGGTGGCAAGGCCTAAGATCCCGGCCTCCTTATTTCAAGGTACTTGCTAAGGGAATGGGGGTGGGGGTGGGGAAATGAGTTTGTATTGAGCTCCTTTACTATCATTCTGGAATTGATGTTTCTTGGCTGGTCCTGTATACATGAGATGGAGCAAAAATCAGAGAAGATCAGAGATTATCTCATCTTGTCCCTCACTCTGGACTGTCCCGATGGTAGAAGTGGGAAGGGTCTCAGAGGTGGTGTGGTGAGCAGAACCAAAGAGTCTTGTGCTGGGAGATGGGAGGCATGATTTTGAACCCCAGCTGTTTCACATGAGGTGCATAACCTTTGGTGAGTTACTTGAACCTCCTGAATTTTTTCAGTTTCAAAAGAAAGCATAGTCAGATTGTGCAAGGAGAAGTACGTACAAACATGGAAGAGGTAGGAGGAATGGACAGTCCTTGAATTTCACTTTCATCTAAACTGGCCTCAGAAGGGCAGAACACACGCACACACACACACACACACACACACACACAGTTTGGTGTAGAAATACATTAAATTCAACAGCAATATATATAGAAAAAGGAAGAAAGGAAAAGGAAAAACATAAGAGGAAGGGTAGATTCAGGGATTAATTAGTCATGAGCAAAACAACCTTAAGTTTAGAAAGGGGATAGTGAAGAAAAAGTTAAAAGGAGAAGAGAAAGGATAATAACTTGAAATAAACAGGGAAAGAAAACTATAGGAAAGAAAAAGTATAATAGAATACAATGAAGGGAAATAATTATCTATCATGACTGTGAATGTGAATGGGATGAGCTCACCTATAAAACAAAAGAAATTAGCAAAATGGATTAGAAAGTAAACACTCTGACAATATGTTGTTTATAAGAAATATACCTCAAACATAAAAACTAATACCTAATTAAAATAAGGGGTTGCAGAAAAATCTATTAGATTTCAGCTAAAAACAATCAAACAAACAAAAGCAGGAATAGCAATTATTATTTTAGACAAGGCAACAACAAAAATTGACTTAATATAAAGATAATGGAGGAAACTACATTTTGATGGAAGATAACATACACAGTGAATTGCTTTCAATACTTAATATACATGCACTCAATGAAATAGCTTCTAAACACTTAAAGAAAAACAAACAATAAAATATAATAATGGAGAATTTTTATTTATCCTTGTCAACCCTAATAAATCTAACTAAAAAAATAAACAAGAAAAAGTTAAGGACTTGAATAGAATTTTAGAAAAATCAGATGTGGTGACTACTGAATGGAAATGGAAAGGAAAATATGTATTTTCAGCTGTGCAAGGCACCTTCACAAAAAGTGATCATGTCTTAGGACATAAAAACCTCACAAACAACTTTTTAAAACAAGAATATTATATATATCCTTTACTGATCACAATGTAATAAAAGTTATGTTAAATAAAAGGCCACTGTATAAAGTATTAGAAATCAACTGGAAAAGAAAAAAAATACTCTGGAGACTAAACTGCTTAATCTTGAAGAATAGTTGAGTCAAAAAACAGATCACAGAAGTGACAGAAAATGTCACTGACGATAATTACTACAATGAGGCAATATTTCAAAATTTGGGGGATGCAGCAAAAACAGTTATCAGGAGGAAAAACAGATAGATAGAGATACAATTCTATTAGCAAAAAGAGAAAGAACAAATCAATGAATTAGGAATGCAGTTAAAATAATAGAAAACAACAAATGTAAAAAAATAGAAATACTGAAAATTAAAGAAGAAATCAACAAAATTGAAAATGAAAAAATCCACTGGATTGACAAATAACACTAGGAGCTGGTTTTTTGGAGAAGAAAAAACCCTAATAAAATTGATAAACCATTAGTTAACTAGAATAAAAAAGAAGAAAACCAAATTACTAGTATCAAAAATTAAAAAGGAGAATTAACAACAAATGAAGAAATAATATTATTGGAAACTATTTTTGCCCAAAATATGCCAACCAAACCAAAAACACTGAAATAAATTGATATTTACAAAAAACATATAAAATATCAAATTTAACAGAACAAAAAGTACAGAATTCAGACAATCTAATTTCAGAGAAAGAAATTAAACAAGTCATAAAAGAACTTCCAAAGAAAAAAAGAACAACAAAAAACAACTCCAGGACCAAATGAATCTACAAGCGAATTCTATCAAACATTCCAAGAATAATTAATTCTAATATTACATAAATTGTTTGCACAAACATCAAAAGAAAGGATCCTACCAAACTTCTTCTGTAATACAATAAATACATATATGTAATACATAATGATATATAAAAAGGAACAATCAAAACTGAAAAACTAGAGATCAACATCCCTAATGAACATAGATACATACATTTTAAATAAAATATTAGAAGATTAAAAGGGAAACAATGAGGTAGGGAAAAAAAATCTTATATTTATATATATGGAACTGACTCAAATTTCTAAGAGTAAGAGTCATTTCTATGGTATAAACATATGAATAGACAGTTCTTGAGGGGAAATGGTGTTATGTTTGAAAATTAAGGTAAAGTGAGAGACAATGGTCTGAGCATGATCAATTTATGAGTTAGGCTAGCAATAACCAATACACTGGGTCAATGGCCTCTCTCAATGATCAAAAACCCTGAGGTGGCATTTACTAGTCTTCATATAGTTTTGGGAAGTAGGAGAGAATGAAGAACAGAGTTGGGTAGGTGGGGAAAACAACATGACTGGTTAAGAGAGGTGGGGACAACATGACTGGTTGGAAATTGGGAATGAGGGAAGGAGGTGCCGGCAACAACCTCATCCTTCTCTCCTGTGATTGAGAAGTGTTCACCGAGTCTGCCTGCAAGGCTAGAGAGAGTCGGTCAGCCT